CACAAGCTGTCATTATTCAAACCGAAGATTCACAAGCTGTCATTCTTTAAAAAGAGGATCATGAAAACTACGTCCTTGGCGGCTAGTTTAGAAGGCTTGCCGAGTCGAAAGTTCCAAAAAAATATACGTTGCGTGATGATGTAGACCATAGTTGACAGCATACTAGCAAGATACCGCAATGAGAAGTTATACATGATACGGACGGCATCTGCGCTGGAGTGATTCAAGAATCAGTTGTAGGCCGGCGATGGAGAGCTAGATATATATCGTATTCCGCATTTGTCAATCGCAAAAATTTGGCGCAGATCTTCGTGGAAATCAGGCGATGGAGAGCTAGATATATATCGTATTCCGCATTTGTCAATCGCAAAAATTTGGCGCAGATCTTCGTGGAAATCAGCATGATGTTCAATCGTCTCGAGAAATCTAAGAGCTTGTTGTGGTCCGCGTTGAGGGAGTATGGACGAGACGTGACTAGAGTGAATTGTCTAAGATGGGAAACGAGCGATAAAATGCTCGATTGACAAAAAAAACTACATCCCAGCTACAGGTATCGTATTTACTATCCAAATTTATAAAGATAGGGCAATGCAAATATGATAGAGATGGTTGGCTGGGATCTACAGATAAAACTGATGTACGTCAATTACTAGTTACTAAGTCAGTAGCTATTTTACTTGAATGATTTACCTGGACACAGATCAACACATGTGGTAATCAGTTTCTGGTCAAAATCCCTACTGAGTCGCTGACAGACTTGTTCTTATACCGCATGAGAGAAATGGAGAGACAATTGTATTAGGCGATTATGCGAATACACTACTTAAGACAGCGACTTTAACGTAATAGTTGACTCATTTAAGCTGACATGAAAATCTGTATTGAAAAGGCCTAGGATCAGTGGGTAATTTCATCGGTATTCGGATTATTAGAATTATAAACGAAGTATACCATTGACCAAGAGCAAATAAATAAAGAATTACAGAAGAAAAACGGACTAGAGAAAGGTAACTTCGTGAAATTCGCAATCTCAGATGAAGCGACGCAAGTCAAAAGTGGTTAAAGCGGAGTCGTTTCCCACCAAAGAACGGGGATCCCAGGGATACCTACAGTCAAGAGGTTTACATCATTGGCGGGCGTGCTTATAATCTCTTGCTGTAGTCGGCCAGACATGGTGTGTAATGTGCACCAAATGACAAGACTAAATCACGCATCGACCGCGCACATTGAAAAATGCACAACGTATCTTACGATCCTTAGCCGCAACAGCTAAGATGAAATCACATATGGGTGGTAGATCCGAGGATCCTGCGATTACCTTATCGAGCTACAAAGATGCTGACTATGCTACGGACGAAGAGAAGACGAAAATATAGAGCGGGAAGTTGTCATTATTGGGATTCATGCCTAAGGGATGGTACAAAAAATTAACGGTGGTCGCGCTGTTGACTGCAGATGCGGAGTTTGTTGAACAACGACAGCGCTGCTTAATTAATTTTAGGTATCAAGAACCCGATTAAGTTCATTACGATTGAGGCTAATATTCCTATAGGATTGCGCAGCGACAACCAAGCAGCGATTGAACAAATCAAAAACGAGACCACATCTAGCAGTGTGAAGCGTGTTGATGTCAAGTTAAAGTTTGTGCAAGACACGAGTAAAAAGAGAAATGTGAAGCCCCTATGTGCGAGAATCAAAGATATCTTTGGAGGACATATTGACCAAAGAAATGCCAGGACTGCGCTTGCTGGGATTGCGAGAAAAAATTGTATTGTATTGAGGTGTGTAGCCTATGTCAGGAGTGCTGAAAGACAAGTCAATTTGAAGCACGTGCTGCCCATCGAAAAGAGAGGACAAGCTAAGGGCACGCATAAGTGAGCGGTGTGCAATAAAGAGTCTTAGTACTTAGCGATGGCGATATAACTATTAGCAAATATGCAGATATACTCTTCTCCTAGTAAGCAAAAACCATTTATCAATACTGTCAGTATCAAGCTTTGCGATGGTACGTGTCGGTGTCACTTTGTAAATATGGCCAGATTATCTGGCTGTGACATACTGCTTACCGATACAAATGAGTGATGCTACGTTTCAGTAACATTGATGCTACCAGATCATGACATATTTAAAAGATGATATTCCAATTTATCTTATAATATCATTATCAGGTTATGGACTTATATGTTCATTACTATAATTGATTCTTGTATTAGATATTGTACGTGTAAAAATATTGGTGCTAATGGCGCAAGCCCAAGAAGTATAAACATATTGATTAATTGATACATGGCATTTAAGCATCACATTAGATTAACGATTCTATGAATAGTTGTGAAAGTTAATTGGCTCTTAAACAAATTTTTTCGCTGATCATTTATTAAAAATGTCCACTTAGATTTTTGTTTTATGGTTGTTTAGAACAATAAAAACAAGAATTATTTGCACCATTTCAGTATTTAAATCTTCGCAATTTTACTCGTACATCTTGGTAAATAGTTTTGTATTCAATCAAAGGATAAATGTAATAAGTGACAGGAGTAATAATTTACTAGATTGTAAAAGGATTTTATAAAATCTTGTGCATGTTTAGTTTGTCACACAGCCGTAAACAAGCTCAAAGTCAAAACACCGAATGATGCTACCCTTCGACTTCTTCAAGAACTACGCAGATGAACGAATATAATTCTGTGACACGTGGAACAAAAGGTTCGTCACTTGCCAACCGAGAGCGTATGCATCGAGAAAGCAATCCAATTTGACTTGATCAAAGTGACCACTAGTCATCAGGGATAGGGTAGCACGTTTTCCCACGAGCGATGAACTGGTCTGACCTACATGACTCAACCTACTGCTAAACACAGAAGGGGTGAGCTGGACTAGACTCTACATTATGTCCAGGTCCAAACGAGTGCATTTACATAATAATCACCCCTAGCTGTCATGAGATAACCACGTCGGAATTGATCCCACCACACTTCTCAGCACACAAATACGCTTCCCAGCACAGAACACAGGGGCATGCATCACTTTGCTCAGGTGCATACAAGTCCTTCTCTTGCATTATCAACCTCTTGGTTCTTCATCACAATAGTGCTCTGTACCGCCAAGAGTGGTACACTGTACGTACCGGTCACTGACTTAAATTCCGGCTGTGTGATGAACTAAAAATATAACTTGATTTTAAATGTATCCTGTCACATTCTGGTAATACTTCAAAATCCTGTCACCTTTTGCAATTATCCCTAATATAGATCGCTACATTCATCTCACAAAATAAAGATGCTGCTAATGAGCCTTAACTTTTCACTAATAAGCCTTCACCCTATCGATTTAAAAATATGTAATTGGAATTGAAACCGCCTAGATTGTCAAATTGTTTTGCTGCACGCTTTAGAAACAACGCTCATTCGATCACCTGCTCTATCGACTTCTGACCTCGCTTCATAGAAGGAACATGGAAGGCCTCGACAAGATCACTGGATATATATTTTTCTGTTGACAAAGCTTGTCACGCACTTGACGATCTGACACTGCCGGAAGGCTATCATACAGCAATCAAACGGCATTAAGGGTGGGCAATGGCAAGGACGGTGAGGTTGAGCAGTAAATCTGCAATGCTCATACAGCGCTGTCCACAACAGGCGGCTCGTGAAGGAGACGCATTATAGAACTCGAGCATGACTAGATAGTGAGCACCATAAGACATGTGTGTTTTGCTCTCACGATCGTCTGATTTCACATTAATATTTAAAAATGGTCTAAGTATGTTTGTATTATAAACGAAATGCCGTCTTCAGAGCTTTTCGTGGTAGTCCTCTTGATCTGAGCGTGACATTGTGTAGGGTGGATGGTATTCACCCTAACCAAGCCAGTGTGAGCCTATATTTCAAGTGCTCTCACTCGTTGATGGGACTGCATATGTGGAGCTGCGGATTTGACTGCCTTAGTCTCGACTGATAAAATTTAGAAATTAGAAGTATAAAAGTACGAAAACCAAGCTGGTAATTGAGTGTGCTCTTGTTTATTTCTTGATTATCGTATGGGGTGAAGGCTCATCAGCGAAAAGTAAAGGCTTATTCGCAACTCCAGAATAAAATGCCCAAGATAATTACTAAGGTAGCCTTCATCCTCCTCCTTAATTTTAGGCTGCAAAACGGCGCCTCATAGCACGCCTCAATAGAACATTTGTAGGGTAGAAGATCAGTGACGTATTGCTCATGGCATAAATAATATGCTCCCCGTGGCGGCGCAATGCAGATACAGCGGCATTTCGCAGTATGAAATGACTCGCAACGAGGTTTTAACGTGAGCGACAGTAATGAGACAAGGCGAAAAGCAAGAGGTCTACGGACAGATGTGGACAGTAGCGCTTTGTCGAATGTCATGCTTTACGTGCTGGTACAAAAGTATCTATAATTCTGGAAGATGTGCTGATAAAAACTGATCAAGGAGCTACCCTTTGCACATGCCACCACCTTCACAGCATCGGTGCCTCTACCGGGCTTTTTGTGCTGCCAACATGGAGTACAGCAGTATAGCCAAGACGTTTACAGCTAGATAATTCGTGACCTCTGTCTGCCAGTCAATTTGCACATTTCTATAGAAAAGCTTGCTCCGAACCAAGTGCGGGACGTGGTTCGAATATGGTGTCTGCCTAGTTATTGAGCTTGATCCAGCTCTGTCAAATCGCGTCGAACGACATGCTGGTTCAGCTTGCATTGTCCGACCCAAAGTAACAACAACGATGAGCCGCAAAGGTCGGTAGAATTACCGACAACCGGTGTCAGCATTGAAAGCCACAAAATGAGACAAGAAGCGACGAACAAACAGGATCAAGAAATAACAGGTAGGAGCCAACGCAGCCGCTTGAAAGTCAGTCTGTTCATTACGCTAAGCTGGAAGACATCGACTGCAGATCCGGAATCAGCTCGGATTGACAACGACATTATATGGCTTCAGGCCTTTGTGAACGCGTTAACTCGGTTCACAGACGTCCCAATTCAACTGTTAAAAGACCCGTTGCCAACGCTGCTTCGATCATCCAGCGATCCAGCTTCAGGAGCACCATTTCCGTTCGGCAGAGATTGGCTGGACCTGATGGCGCATGCCTCCGGTGCAGTTGATACAGTCATAACAGCGATTAGGTCGACAGATGGCGGCATGATAACCATACGAAGCGACGCTTCGGCGTCTTTCAACATGCCCACTAGAAAATAGTGCTCCTGCTCGTACGAAAAGCCGTCCTCGTTACCGCCATCTAGGCGTAAAAGCAGCTCTTCGTCAGATGCTTGCCCTTGGACACGCGGGAGACGGAGGGTTGTAAGGTGCGCAGTAAACTGCTCCCCCAATTTCTTCTCGTTCAAAACGTTCTGCGAAGCCGCTACGATCTCGTTTTTTCGCTGGACAGCTTGTTCAGCTTCGAGTGGCTCGGGCACCTCGCTGATGTCGATAAAGGCTTGCGCCGCGCTCTCGACTATACCGCTCAACCGGTCATTCTCACTAAGCACACCCTTTCCAGACCATATGCCACTGGATCGACCATTACTACCGACTCCACCCATACCCGACTCATTATGCAACTCCAGGTGCTTCTCCAACTCCAAAAAGTGCTGCAGGGACGCATCGTCCAGAATACCAGGCACCTGCAACAATTTATCTGAAACACCAAGCAACACCAAAAGTAACTACCAGCTCCTAAAGACAACAAGGATGTACCCATACATACGTACCCACATACTCCTGCAGACTTGCTTGACGTTTTATCAAAAAGTTTGGGTCGAACCTGCATTACAAATGCAATTTCAAAAACAACACAAGGTCAGCCTCTATGGATGTAAGAAATCCTCCTCGCTCATGAACAGTCGATGAATCGCAGCATTGTGAATTTCTCAGAGCAATGGACGCGTTGAGACGACGCGCAGCACAGAAAAAAGACTGGTCGCGGCAAGATTTTGCCAGACAACAGAACTCTCCCTCAGCTTCGCACACTCCGGAGCGTCCATCTTGTCCCGCCACTGGCACGTCCACAGCTCAAGGTTCCGTCTCTCGATCCCTCTCTTCCCTCCATCTCTCTCTTTTAGATAAGATCAAGTGGTTTTATAGTCACTGGCTATCACAAAAGCCTCCTCTCTTCCATTTCAACACCAAAGAGAGTGAGGGAGAATGTGAGAGAGAGAAAAAAGCACCTGCAGCCACGTCCGTCAGCAGCAGTACAAAGAGCTCTCTCGATCCACAAAGCAGCAGCCACTGAAAGGGTCAGAACTCCGTCTAACGTTTTCTCCATCTGCCACGTCACGCCCTTAAAGGACTCAATATAGACTCCATTCTCATCACTGAAATGCCACACTACTCGACAAGAGCCAAAGCCATTGTACACTGAAAGACGGGTGTAAATAGGTCGGTAAACCGGTAAACATACCGTCCAAACCACTGCTTCTCAGGCAGCGACGCCTCAATGAGGTCGCCAAAGCGCCGCACGAGACGCGCGTGCAGCTGATCAAAGTCACTAAAGCGACGCGAGATGCGCCACAAGCCGCCATTGCACGAGATCTACGGCACCAATACATCCAGTTAACCAACAAAGTAAGAGAGATGAGAGACAGGAGCGGCCAAGCAAGACGCACCTCGACGAGGAACTCGGTGTGGTCCCCCACTGTGTCGTAGCCCGTGAGAAGCGCGCTCACGTTCAGCATCGCCATCGTGAGGAGAGAGTCGCTTAGTTGATGTGCGTCACACAACTACCATGTGCACACCGGTTCAATACCGGTTTCCGTACCTCTTCATCCGCAACTTCAAAGTGCGACGACTGATTGAAACGAACGCTCTCTCGGGTACCGATCATGGCGACGATGACGACGACGACGACAGCGCCCTACAGACGGAGCAGTAGCGACCGTCCGATCCTGATGGTAGACGTGGACCACACACTGGCCGACTTGCTCACGGGCTTGACGGCGTGGCTGGAAGCAGAGCACGAGACGAACGTGTGTTTGAACGTGACCGCACGATCTTTGCTTCGACTGTTGTCTCTATAGTGTCAGTACATGGTTGAGAGCTGTTGCAACTAAGTCATGCATCGCTGTTTCTTCCGAACATGTAGACCAAAGACGAAGCAGAAGAAGAGAAAGAGACGGTGTCGGATAGTGGAACAAGGCGCTGGGACCGCAGCGACGTGGAGACCGAGAGGCGCTTGTTTTATGGATCCAAGCACTTTGAGATGAAGCTGGACGCGGTAGAAGGAGCTGTGGAAGTGTTGAAGCCATTGCGCAGTGTGTTCTCACTAGTGGCGATCACAGATCGACCGCGGTCTGTGGAGAAACAGACGCGCGAGTGGCTCGACCACCACTTTGCGGGTGTGTTTGACAAGCTCGTGTTTGTGGACGGGGACAGTCCAGGACACTTGGTGGCACGCAAAAAGGAGCTATATGACGATCTCAAAGTGAAGGTCGCGGTAGGATCGGATCTTGCCGAGTTGACCGAAGCAGCAAAAGGTGTCGATCGTGTGGTTGTCGTTGGCTCCGTGCCATGGACAAAGGCGGCTACAGCGTCGCAATCTGGTCTCGTTCAGGTTACAGACTGGTCAGCAGCAAGGGATGTCTTTGACCAGCTAGTCAAAGAGTTTGATCTCCAGCCTCTCAACAAGGTCTTTGCTGGACCTCGCCTTGCTCGATACACAGATGATCTTGTCACAGTGTCGATGCGGAAACCCGCAGGTACGGTTTCATTTCGTTCCCCTCGCGCGTATGCATTTTGACTTCCGTTGCATCCATTCAAGCTAACCCTCGTGAATGGTGGAACGCTGTTTGTAGTATTCTACGCCAACATCATCAGCTCGAAGTTCACGGTGCAGAAGCAGGAGATCGTTCGACTGCAGGCGTCCGAGGCGGCCATCACGGCGGCAGTGCAGGTGGCAGAAATTCTGCGCACCCAAAGCTGCGCCATTCCGACGAAAATCACGACGCGATACGCGCTGAATCGATCCAAAGACCGTGGTGGCTACCGCGTGCCCAAGATCGAGCTGGTGCTCCAGCGTGTTGTGCCCTCACCCTAGCAAAAGCTGCGTGCGTGGTTCTGTACCACAAAAAAAAGGAAGAACCAGGAAAGTCACGAGATCAAAAAAGCAGCGTGTGTAGGTCGTAATAGCCCTGTAGCAGATGGTCCCAATGGAGCTTGACAGAAGTAAGGTGAGCAAGTCAAAGGACTCAGCGCAAGAGAAAGAACATGGAGAAAATGTGATGGCGTGTAAAAGTTTCAGCATGGCTCGCGATTGGCAACACTCACGGTCTCATAGGCCTCGATCTCTGGCTGCCAAAAACTCTTGACGTTCTTCGTCGCGTTGCTGGCGACGCTCGGCTTCTTTCAAGGTGACAATCTCGTCTGCAGCACACCAACCACCTTTTAGTCTCTCTTGTTCCTCCACACTGCACGGACATTCTGCTTCAACAAAGGTTATGCACGTACAGAATCCTGTCTTGACCATGAACAATTCGATCGCTGCACCTGTTACAAAGCAGAGCGGCATGAGCTTCCGAAGAATTGGCGTCAACGCGACTGTCTGTGGCTTCATCCGGTTAGCGTGGACTCGACGAAACCGTGCGAATCAAAAGACGTGGGGGTACAATTGATACCCTGGCCAAATGAATGGTATACGCTTCTATGGTAGGAGCATAGCCGTTGGACATTTTACGTCGAAGGTACATGCGTAATTGACACGACGCACTGACAAGTGGGAGGCCAAAATGTAGCCATCTGAACGAGGTCATGACGACATTCAAACGGAAGTTGGCGTTGCCAAGCTTTGCACCCGCAAACTGTTTTCCAAAGAACGCTCTTGCTACACAACCAGCTTTCGGAAGACCTTGTGCATCGTAATTCTATGCTACACGTCGTCTAAGAGCTACAGCTTGGGTAGAATGCAGCTGGAAAGCTTGCTGCTTCTGGAGACGCACTGGAAGGAGTGCGTCCAGCCTACGGGGCTTTTGGCCCGTGCGATATTTTGCGACGGGTTGTACGCGAGTGCATGCAAGTATGACAATGCCATCCGCTGCTCCAACAGCAGGGCCTCCCGCAGCATTCTCCAAGACGAATACCTTTGCGTACGTAACTATCATACTTGAATCTTCACAGCGAAATTTGACGAGTTAGTCAGACAGGCGAAGCAATTCGTTCGCGTCTGCTACAGTGTAACTGCAGATAGACGAGACGTCAAAGTGACCGGGAACTCTACCAGCTCAATGTATTAGGACTACACACATGCATGTGCGTGGTGTTGTTGACAAGCTTCTCTCCCCTTTCGTCGGCATCTGTATTTCGTCAATTCAAACATGATAAATTTCAACAATTCAGCCTGGAACGAGGCAAAGGAGTTATGTGAGCATAAGCCACGCTGTGCCACGTTGCTTCACACGTAATTCGCTTGCGCGTCGGACGATTCTATACATCTCCACCCCCGAGCAAGCTTGGACTTCCAAGTGTGTAGAATCCTGCATGCTATCTTTTTTTCGCAGCATTACAGCACATACGTTCATGATGCTACTGTGATAATCGGTGCAATAAATCTCGATGCCAACATGCCACTGCACTCTTAGTATGCTGCGGCAGCGTAAAAAATCCTAAAAACAGTAGACAAAGATGAAGAATGTAGGGTCGCTTTATGTCGGATGGGGATAGCAGTTACGCGACGAAAGAAATGGTGGAAGGAGATATGTCGGCGCGAGTGGAATGCTATGTTTGGGATACCCTGGTGTATTGCGCTGCTGCTAGAAGGTATCGCATCTTAGGATGGATAATGGGCGAAATCAATGCTAAAAGTCTGAGTAACACATGAGCGGGGCCATGAGGATACTACTTGTCGGTCACATTGCGAAGCTAAGGTGCCTGATGTGAAGATGTCTGTACCTCGCCTTGATCCATATACTGCTCTCTAGCTGCCATCTTGTCTCGACATGTAGTATCGTTGCTTACAATATAAGCGGACCGCAACTTTTGTCCAGCAAGGAGACGTCACACCTCTGAATATCAGCTCACCAGTCGACTCGCGCTGTCGTCGATCTGCTTTATCCGTCCATCAGTGTGCGGTGGCTATAAGGTGCTACCCTTCGTCCTGTACGCGTTTTGCATACTAACGCTTGACATCCCAGGTTTTAGGAGCGCGAGGGTGAAGCTCAGCTTCTTTACGGCACAAAAGGATGAGAGGGGACCTAACAACAACCGGTGACAAGAGGCTTTTCGATCGTTTCCGAGTAAATGCAAAGTAGAGCAGTCGATTTTGATACGACTCCCTTCATTTGCCTGCAACAGCGTCCTGAACGTTGCGAAAGTCCTCTTTCTTTGGACATAAAGACGTGATTCAAGACGAACTCGGCGACCTATGTTAGCTTTGTATCGCACGCTGAAATGACGCGTAGACACAATTGTTGCAGCAGTATCAGGTGTGAACTGGTACCAACCTTAAGCATAAGCAATGTTTGCAAAGTTTACGCCACAACAACGAATCAGGTACGGCGTTGGAACGGCTGTCGCTGTAATGCTGGCTCCAACGTCATTATCGATGCAGCTTTATCGCGCGAAGAGTCCCATCAATCAATGCGAGGGCTCCACAACTAATTTCCGCGGAAGCCAACATCAAACCTTTCAAAACCGATTGTGGCCGGGTGTCGTGAGATTGTATGACCGATTGCTACCGGTAGCAGCAAGATATCACAAGCTCCTGGTATGCTCCCCAAATACCGGTAGCGTTGTGGCGTCCGACAATCAGGCGACGACTGCTGCAGGTCTTACAAAAAGCAAGAGTAAATGATGGAGGCGGTTTTTTCTCGCAGTCAGATCCTCTACTTTTCTTCCTCGTAAGATCGCCTCATTCTCTGACTTGCAACATCCATCGCAAGCCATCGCGAGAAGCTCCTCTGTCAACTGTCATCATGTCGCTCGACTTTTCGAAAGTCGAGAACAATCCGTTGCCCGTAATTGCCGAGAAGCACAACCCGAACGTGGTTTTCGTCGTTTACCGCAACAAGAACAAGAACGTGGTCGTGTATGCCGCGCGGCTACTTGAGGATGGTACACTGGACCCGGAGAACCCGCTGGACGTGCACTGGATCATGTTTGAGCAGGATGGCGAGCCCCGTGAAGACCTCAATATGATTGAGCGCACAACAGCGTACGGTGCGACCGTCGAGCCGCGTGAGGGTCATCCAGGTGAGTATGTGGTGTCGCTCACGTCCCTGAAAGACCGCGTCATTCACCTGTCCGTTGTGGATGGCAAGCCCGTGGGTCGAGGCTCGATCAACGGTCAAGACGGGTGCACGCTTGAGCGCGTATTTGTGCAGCAGACTTCGTCGTGGGGGATGCCAAAGGTGCAGCACATTGAGATCCACGGCAGGGACGCGTCGGGGAACGCCATCTCGGAGAAGAAGATCCCGTAGACGAGGCAGCGACTTGTCGTGGAAATGAAGTGCGGTGGGTGTTCAGTAGACCAACCTGACCACAGGATACGTAAGAACAGTGAGGTCCACGCATGCACACTCAGATGAACTCTCTTTTGAACAGCGACTGCGCTCGTCTTTACAGTACCTACTTGTGGTTTCGGGATAATGAACACTTCGGGAAGTAAATGAACGTCATGAAGCCAGAGTCACTTTATTCTTTTTCGATCGATTGCGCAGCTTACTATTGAAAGATTCAGAAATAGATACTGCTAGCAAAAAGGGAACCGTTATCTTCCCTCAGTTTTCAGGTAAAATCCCCTGAGTTTGATATAACGCTACATGATTGGCCGATAATGAGTCACGAATAGAGTGAACGACATCACTGTCAGTTTATTTTTTGGCTGGTTTTGGTGGTAATCATTTAACATTGAGCCTTTTTGCGCAAAAATGTCGTGTGGTGGACGTCATTGTCGACGTTCCAGCTACAGTCGGCGATGTCCTTGAATTAAAAGGAGTGAGTGAGTAAGTGAGTGGAAGCCATCAATTCGAATCAAAGCAACGATCAGCATCACTGATGCAGTAGCTTCGTTATAATCTGTGAAGATAATGCGGCCGTTGCATGAGGGTAGGTCATCGTGCACAACGATGTGGAAGTTAAATCGAAGCAACACCTACAGATCTTGATGTTACCAATTTACATATCTCAATAAATCTGACTGCATCCCTCAGTACAATTCGTTTAACTTTGTAGACACTATCTCTCATACATTACTGAAATGGAACCTTGCATACACGAGCATGTAGATCCTCGGCTTCATTGGCAGCACAACAACTAGATTATCGTAAAGCAGTATCTCACTTGTTGCGGTGCCTTAACGTCGTCGTTATAACAGGGGCATCCGTTTAACAACGTACGCGCGCTTATCAAAATCTCCCTATGCACGACCACCTTTATGTCCTCCTGCATACTCTTATGCGGACCTACATTGCACATTAGTAGATCTGAAACAGCACAAGTATAAAGAAAGTTATTCAGTAGCGAACAGGACGAATAATTATAACACGCGGCGCGTGCACGCGACGCGAACGATCCGAATACGTCGATAAATGAATAATACAGAAAGTAGCAGTCTCACTACTGCAGGAACCTTTGCATGTAAGTGTTAAGGGGGTTCCTTGCTGTTAAAGAGACGTCGACGTCTAAAATATAATGAGCGATTGAGTGCATCCGCGGACGTAAAAGCATCGAGTCTGCAAACGATTCAGGCAAATCTTGACTGAATTTTGCACTGATAAACATAAAAACGATTGCGGATTATACTGAATCAGGTCAAATAGATGGGTATAAACCGGTAATAGTGATTTAATCCCCTCAAGGCATGTCGAAAAATTTGCCAATCATGAAACTTGGAAAAGATCAACGGTTCCTCTGCAAAAATAAGGGCATATAAGTACGACACATACTAAATTTAGCAAACACATCGTAACAGCGAGTATCAGTAGTGGGGTGACTTATTTCAAGTTGCTCTGATCTATTATAGCTGGCGGTAGGTTATCCCTCTACGATCAGATCATAGTAAGAGCACGATATTGGCAATTGGCGATTCATTACGAATGACATCATTATCGTAACCTTCTACTAGTAAAAAAGCTCCAAATGCTTATACATTACTGCTGGTGGTATTTGATAGAATAAAAAATAGAGAGAAGCAGTCTACTTAACCTTTATATTGGTTGCAAAATCCGTGGTATGTTTTAAGCATATTTAAAACGCTGGTTACTCGTTCGAGTCTGGTGTTTGAACAGGCTGGCCTCCACATGTAACAGGGTAACGCGGCGATTACTGAACATGTTATGTTGTTGTGTGTCCACACCAAGCAAAGATTGGTGGATCTGAGTGGTGCAGTCTTGGTACCACTTACTTACGGTATTACCGCACCATATCGGGTAAGGAAAAGGGATCAGACTAGTGTCATGAAATCGTAATGTAGCAGTCAGTCAAACAAGGTTGTAGGGCTTTATTGCCGTTGTTGAAGAATAAATGAAGTTCAGTTCTCCTTTTGAATCGTTGGACACTAGTGCTTAGTCAAGGCACAGTGTGTTGTAAGAGTGTTAGCTTTGTGAAGCGCTTGCTCTTGTTTACCAAGTATTCCCTAGTTAGTGTGTAATTCTGTGAATCTTAATTCTTTTGAAACCAAGATTGTTAAGCTTGTACGCTTGAACGAATGTACGTCGTAGTTAGTTTGTCATAACAACGAGACTCTCTACGTCAAAGACCTCCTCTGTCAAGGAGCACAAAGTAGCTCAGCTACACTTAGTAGCTCTTGTGGTCGATCTACACCTGAGTCTTCAGATACTAAATCCTTTGGAAGGAAGGAAACAGCCATGAACCTCTCTGAGGCCCAGCATATCACGCTTTAAAAGCTTACGGCGTTTATCGAACAATTCCATGATCATTTGGCATCCGACATGCCCACTCGGTATGTTCCAATACCCGACACTGAGTCATGAATTCGTCCTCGATTCTTGAGTGTCAAAACTTTCGAGAGAAAGAGGGAAAAGCTCTTTTTGTAACTTCGAGATATGGAGGCTGCTATTAGCTCGTCCTTGCTGCGGTCATATCGGCATAAGGTGGGCCTTGCCCTATTAAAGTTAGATGGACCAGCCAGGAATTGGACCTAAACTTCTGGCACCTCGATAGAAGAGGCTTTTTCCACCCGGGACACGCAAAAACAGCAGCTGTCTCGGGTGTTATCCCCGCCTAATAAGGAATATCGCGTATGTTCACATTCACTGTCATCCCGACAGGGTAAAAAGGACTTAGTCAATTATGTCCAGGAGCTACGAACTCTCATTGCTGTTATGCAGCTTGACACTTTACCTGAGATGGTTTTGGTAACCATTTTCATTAAGGGTTTTCACACTGTCGTTGTCAGAACGGAAGTGTTCCGTGTATCATCCTTTAAGGTTTGAGGGTGTGTAATGGAGTGGGGTTCGCTCATTTTATGAGGCGATCTCGACTCTCTACTGGCTCCCAGACAACCGACTAACGGAGGGAGTACTCCGATTCCGCTTGCACTTGTTTCCTCCTCACCTTGTGTACCCGTCGGTAGGGCGGGTTGCACTCTTCTAAGTGGACTTGACTCGATGCTAAACTTGAAATTTTCAAAGATTAGTGTCGATTGGGTGGAATTTCCCCACCCGATCGCGTGTTCTTGGTTGGCGCTCTCCTAGAGTCGCCGTGATCATCCTTGATCGCCTTGTGCCAAAAATGAAAGGCTTGAGTCGCGAGGTTCTGACCACTTGAGCCGTCTCGCGATCTTGTACTTTAACCAGTAAGATTGCCTGCGTCTAATTTTAGTTGGTACATGTTGAGAATCCTTGCACTCCTAGCAAAATAGCCCCGGGATTGATCTCCCTTCCCTTGGTGTCGAAGTTCTCTGACGTCGGAAGGCCATAATATTTAACCCGAAAGAAGAATGACACGTATGTGTTAAGAAGCAAATTGAACTCTCTTTAATACTTTTCAAACAAAGCCAAAACTCGGCTACTCTGTATGTTAGGATTGGCCGCCACGTGTCTTCTCCATGCCGAAGGGATTTGCTTTTTTATATCACGTGGCCCACACCAGATTGCGGTACCTTGATCGCGGTCCTATGATCGCGGTCACATTGTTTTTTCTACAGTCTGGGACCGTGCGGATTAGATGGAGGTGAGCCCGTTGGACCTCCCGTCGGTATCATCCAAATAACTGGCTTTCATCCCAGCCTAGGAGATACAGCCAATATCATCTTGTACTTAGCTAAAACGCCCAGGATTTTGGACCTGATCTCAATCGGCTTTACCGCAGGTTCAGTGGACATAGCGTTAAACGCAGAGTTCAACTTTAAAGCTGCCCGCTACGAAAATCATAGGTTTCAAGCGAAGTCATCGGGCACTGCTCATACTATGGATATGGCAGAACCCATGGACCTTAGTCTCGCTAAAAGAGACGAAGAAGCTGAGCTTTACGCTGTCCAACAGCTTTCGAACATCCGTAGATTTTTTACGTGCGGAAGCATCAAACAACTACTCCCCAGTAGTCCTTAAAAAGGACCAGGCAGGTTCATTCAATCCAACCTCACGTCGATAACCAACGAGCTGGTAAGGCATGCGAAAATGTCGAGTCCCAGTAGGCGCGGGGGGGGCTGTTGGGGAAGATTTAGGCTCTGTTATACCTCTGGGAGGTATAGGAGAGCAAAGACTAGCCCAAATAGCTTTGTGGGCAATGTCACGAAGCATGAGTGCAATCCAGGCTTGTCAGTTGCCAAAGCACTAATAAGTGGCTTTGATAAGCCGTAGTCGACATCAATCGACTCCGGGGCGTCGGGAAATCACGTCCGACGTTCTTCCCTGGAATGCTGCCAGCATTATTCTGAGGCGCTTCGAGCGCGAAAGAATGAGAATATCACTTTTCACTTGGTTACAGGTGCATTTGTCACTGTGCCTAAATTTCTTGTGAAGTTTTCGGACTTTGACAGTATTGAACGCTGTCTTGTCCTTGACTTGGAGGAGAGATATGATCTAATCCTTGGTATGGCTTGGCTAGAACGCCATGCGTCATGGATTGATTGGAGGTCAAGTACCTTAGGCGCAACGCGCAATGTTCCTAGTGAAGATTTGGGTAGTTATGAACCCACCTTTGCTAGGCAACATAAAGGCTATCAGCGCGAGTCACGGACTGAGACAATCAGTGTGCTGTACATCGGTATGGCTAAAATCATTAAGCTGGACGATGTCAAAAATGATCGTTACGATCCAATCTTAATGGCTGCTAGTACAACGGCATGTACTCCGTCGAGTGATAATCGTTGTGATAACAAATCACTAAATGCTGAATGCTTTGTTAGCCTAAAGCCAAGTCATCATGGGTTAAACCCATCTAGTGAGCGTGGAGTGGCACGTAAGTACTCACTGAGTGATGTTAGCCGTGATTGCGACACAACGAATGTCAGTCA